CCGGGGGGTTTGACCTGAAGGGTGTCCCGGATCAGGGTGGGGGTCCCGCTGGGGTGCCTGGCCAGCCTGAGTGGGGGGCTAATCGGTGTTTGCAGGCTGGTCACACCTTCTTCGGGGTGGAGGTACCCATTGGGGTGCCTAGCCAGCCTGGGTGAGAGGCTGATGGCTGTTTGCAGCTGGTCACACCCCCTTCAGCATGGGGGTCCCCACTGGGGTGCCTGGCCAGCCTGGGTGAGGGTTTGATGGCTGTTTGCAGGCTGGTTAAGCCCCCCCCCCCCAAGTGGGGACCATCAACCCATGGACGTTTGGCTAGCCTGGGTGAGGGGCTCATGGCTGTTTTCAGGCTGGCCACACCACCGTGAAGGTGGGGGGTCACCACTGGGGTGCCTGGCCAGTCTGGGTGAGGGCCTGAGGGCTGTTTTTAGGCTGGCCAAGCCCTGCGACGGAAGCTCCCAGCCTTTCCTTTTTTTCTTTCTTTTTTTTTAATTCTGGGATTTATTTACCTTCTATAATTGAAACTTTGTTGCTTTGAGTGGAGCTCAGAGCTGGCCGCAACAGGGGGGGAAGCTTGGCTTCCTCCATCATTGGGGCAATCAAACCTCCTGCTCGCTCCAGCTCTGTGGCTGCCTGCTGTCATCTTGGTTGGGTTAATTTGCATATAGTTGCTCTGATTGGCTGGTGGGCGTGGCTTAAGTTGTAGCAAAGGTATGGTCAATTAGCATATTTGCCTCTTATTGGTGTAGATTATTATTATAAATATGGTCTTTAAAGAGGTAGTTAAGATACAATAAGGTCACTGTGTGGGACTTCATCCAATCAGACTGCTGTTCTTATAAGATTGGATCAGGACACAGACAGGGAGGGGCAATCACGTGAGGACACAGGGAGAAGACAGCATCTTCATGCTGAAGAAAGAGGCCTCGGGAGAAACCAGCCCTGCCCACACCCTGACATCAGGACACAAAGGGGCATCTCTTATCTCCCGTTACAGGCTTCCCCAACAGCAAAGAGCTGATCAGATGGTTCAGCAATGGACGGGCCTGCGTTCACTGACTCATTCCAGTGTCACTAGGTGAACACTCTATACTTTGCCTTTTGCTGAGCAGAATCTTCTGCAGGTTCTTAGAAGGTAAAAGTACAGAAGATAAATATGACTCCAATGCAGTTAGACTCTGCCAAGTTGAGAAAGGAGTTTCTGTGATTTCTGTGCACGCCGCAGCCCCCCCTCCAGCAAATTTTGATCCTTTGCCTATTTAAGTTTGAACTAAACCACTAGCAATGGTCGTAGTGCCTATGCCAGTGACGCTCCCCGGCCCTGGCCACCCTTAGGGCAGCAGAGGGAGGCAAATGCTGGTGCCTAGGCCCCCCCTCAGAGCTCCACTTAGGACAGCAGGGTCTGGACATCAAGACTCTAAAGACACTCGTGCACTGCTGGTGGGAATGCAGACTGGTGCAGCCACTATGGAAGACAGTATGGAGTTTCCTCAAAAAGTTTAAAATGGAACTCCCATTTGACCCAGTGATCCCACTTCTAGGAATATATCCCAAGAAAACAGAAACACCAATCCGAAAGGATATACGAATCGCTATGTTCATAGCAGCACAATTCACCACAGCAAAGATCTGGAAACAGCCTAAGTGCCCATCAGCAGATGAATGGATTAGAAAACTGTGGTACATCTACACTATGGAATACTATGCTGCTGTAAAAAAAAGAAGGAATTCTTACATTTGAAACAGCATGGATGGAACTGGAGAACATTATGCTAAGTGAAATAAGCCAGTAAATGAAAGAAAAACACCACATGATCTCACTCATTTATGGATAATAAAGACCATTATAAACTGATGAACAAAAATAGATACAGAGGCAGAGCAGCATCGAACAGACTGTCAAACTATAGCGGGAAGGCAGGGGAGGGTTTGGGGGCAGGAGTGGTGGGGGGTAAGAGATCAACTGAAGGACTTGTATGCATGCATATAAGCATAACCAATGGACACAAGCCACTGGGTGTAGGGGAGGCTGGGGGAATATCAAGGTGGGGGGGAGACATATGTAATACTCTTTGTAATACTTTAAGCAATAAATAAAATAAAGTAAAATAAAAAGACAAAATAAAGGGGAAAAAAAGCCTCTAAAGACGCTCTAGCCCAGGGGTGGGCAAACTTTTTGACTCGAGAGCCACAATGGGTTCTTAAACTGGACCAGAGGGCCGGAACAAAAGCATGGATGGAGTGTTTGTGTGAACTAATATAAATTCAAAGTAAACATCATTACATAAAAGGGTACGGTCTTTTTTTTTTTTTTAGTTTTATTCATTTCAAACGGGCCGGATCCGGCCTGGGGGCCGTAGTTTGCCCATGGCTGCTCAGTGGATAGAGCATCAGGTACGGACCACAAACTGTCCCAGGTTCGATTCCGGTCAAGGGCACATGCATGGGTTGCAGGCTCGATCCCCAGCGTGGGGTGTGCATAAGGCAGCTAACCGCTGATTCTCTCTCATAGTGGATGTTCTATCGCTCTCTCCCTCTCCCTTCCTCTCTAAAATCAATAAAGATATATTTAATAAAAAACCCATACACAAATGTATTATTAAAAAAAAAAAAGACTCCCAAGTGACCCCATAGGCTAGCGGCAGTGTCGAGAACTGCTGATGGTGGTCAGAAGAGAAATAGCTCACTGAGGAACTTCACAACGATCAGATGAGAGTCAGTGCAGCAGCTTGGTAACACCACACCAGCTTGCCACTTTAACTTTAAAATGTAGGATATTGCCTTAGAGGGTTTGGCTCAGTGGATTGAGCGTCGGCCTGTGGACTGAAGGGTTAGGGTTTGATTCCAGTCAAGGGCAGCTGCCCGGGTTTGGGGCTCGATCGCCAGTAAGGGGTGTGCAGGAGGCAGCTGATCAGTGATTCTCTCTCATCATTGATGTTTCTCTCTTTCCCTCTCCCTTCCTCTCTGAAATCAATAAAAATATATTTTAAATAAATAAATAAATAAATAAATAAATAAATAAAATGCAGGGTGTTAGCCCCTTAGACTTTTGAGCTGAGTGTATTTTAGGTAAATGAGTTAATACGAGTTGAAGTGTCTCACACATAAGCACCAGCAGACACCAGCTACAATGGGGACTTCTCTCTTGCTCTAGATCTTAGAACCCAGGCTTCTGTGTGGGAGCTACTGACTCAGTGGTTCTGGCCTTCCCAAGGGGTAAGGATACTCACATGCCTCTGTGGTTTGAAAAGCATGGACGAGCTGGGAGATGGTCCTTCCTAGTTCCACCTGTGCAGGAAACAGTAAAAAAAACTTCATCCCCTGAAGAAATGCGGCCTCACAACAAGCAACACACTCAGCTGTCCACCCATCATGAGACAGGCTTCACTGGCTGCTTCAGCCCAGTGTGCGTGAGGTCTGCAAGCTACATCCCTGCTGCGAAGGGCTTCACTCTACAGCTGGGGCCAGCAGAACCTTGCAACAGGGCAGTCACTGCCCTCATGATCCAGCTGAGCCCTGAGCAACAGAGGATGGCCATTGAAGGAGAGAATAAGAGAAGGCAGGCCAGAGCAGGGAGCCGCAGGACACGCAGCCATCTGACCAGCACAAAGAGGGAGCCAACCAGCCCTAGCTTGTTTGGCTTAGTGGATAGAGCATTTGCCTGCGGACTGAAGGGTCCCAGGTTCGATTCTGATAAAGGGCACATCCTGGGTTGGGGGCTTGACCCCCCAGTAGGGGGCGTGCAGGAGGCAGCTGATCAATGATTCTGTCTGATCATTAATGTTTCTGAAATCAATAAAAATATTTTAAAAACAATAATAAAAAGAGGGAGCCAACCAGACCCCTGTTGGGGGTCTTACTCACTGCCTGCCCGTGTCACTGGCCAAGCAGCACTCCGTGCACTTGCTAAATGGGTAATTCCAGAGCCTTCCCTGAGATTCTAGTTTAGAGGCATGGAATACAGTGCAGGATTCTGCACTTTCAGTACTGCCCCCCCACCCAGGGGATCTTGGAGAAGAGTAAGCAGTTCATATTCTAATAAACACTGTTTTACAAAGGCTAGCATTTTAGTGCAATGAAATTACTCTGTAAGACACCATTGTGATGAATACATGTCATTATACATTTGTCCAAACCACAGACCATACACCAGGGGTGAACCCTCAGGTGAATTATGGACTGAGGATAATGATGATGTGTCAAGTGTTAGTTCATCGATTATAACAAATGTACCATCTGGTGGGCGATGCTGATAACAAAGGCAGCTGTGCATGTGAGGGGGGAGCAGGAGATAAGGGAAACTTCTGTACCTTCCTCTCAGTTTTTCTGTAAATTAAAACTGCTCTAAAAAATAGTTTTCTTTTTAAGGAAAGACGAGTTAAAAAGGCTGCAGTAGAAATTTGTGTCTCAGAGGACTTAGACCCTCTCCCTTGGTTTCCATTATTTAAGGCTGTTTGTGATCTCTCACAAACTCCAGACAGACAACCCAGGCTTCATCCGGGCGCTGACTTGCACTGATGAGCACCTGTGGGGCTATGGTGCTCAACTCAACAAATATAAGACCCTCTCTAAACAAAGACCCTCACCTTCCTGCTATTAATAAATCTATATATATAGAAGCCTAAGTGACTATTATGAACAGATGACTGGCCGGTAGCTATAACGAATACTGATCACGGGGGGGGGGGGGGGGATGGGGAGGGTAGTCAATGTGCTGCCACAGCCAACTTCAAACAGCCAGCCAACCGCCCGCAGTCCCTCCCCCTGTCAGCTGGCCTGATCCAGACTGGGTGAGACAGCCTGATCGCCCGCCACGCAGATGGACCCCCACTCCATGCACAAATTCATACACCAGGCCTCTAGCAAATAAATAAGTAAATAAATAAAGCTGCCCCCCCCCCAAAAAAATATAAAAGCTGTAAACTTCCCCCAGAGTCAACCACACGCCCATCTGGCCTCCCACTGACACTGCTGCTCCAGCTCCTTCTGCCTTCCCGTACGCTCACCTGGAGGAGTGGCTTGTCCTGCATCCACATGCAATAAAACAGTCCTTTCCACACCTTCAGCAGCTCGTCATGAGTGAAACCACCTGCATCAAAACAGCAACACTCAGACTAAGTGGGCCCCAGCCTTTTAGTACCAGGGACCAAGGGACCTTCCCTCTCCTCTCAGACATCCTCCTAACTTGGAACCCACTGGACCTGGGCCTGCAGGGACTCCCCCAGGCAACTGCCATTTCATCCTTTCAATAAAAACTGAGAATCTCCAAGCATCAGGCACTGTACATTTTTGGAGATTCAAAACTGAGTGAGTCACTATCTCCTGAGTTGGATGGTGGCTGGCTATCTTAGGGTGATAATTCATCCAGCGGCACACTTGGGGTTTGTGCACTTTTCTGCATTACACTTCAAATTTCAAAAGGAAAGGTTAAGTCATCGGGCTAGTACAGGACGAAGACACATAAAATCACTCAAAATATTGACCGAGTTCCTCTGTCTGGCACTGTGTTCAGCGAGCAGTGGTTCTCAGACCTGAGCGCCAGTGTTAGAATCACTTGGGGGCTTCCTAACACACGGATCTCGGACCCTACGGCCAGTTTCTGATCCATCAAGGCTGGGATGAGACCAAGAAACTGCCTTTCCAACAAACGTCCCCGTGATGCTGCCGTTGCCCCCGGGGTGCCACACTTTGAGAACCTGTTACACGGACCAGTTAACAAGCATGTTCTCTGCACTCGAGGAGCCTACGCTACAGTGAAACTTAAATGACAACCCAACAATTACACAAGGCGCATTACTGACAAGTGACAATGCCGCGGGGAGGGCCAGTGGAAATACCGCCGTAGGTGCGCCGGACCACGTGGTTCGGAGGCCACCCAGCCGGGACCGTCCCCCCACCCACCCTCCCGCCAGGCCCCGCCGCGCCTCCACCCGGCAGGCCCAGTCCCCGAGGCGGCCCCGCAGGCCACGCGCCAACCTGCAGCCCGCTGAGTCCTGGCCACGATGTATTTCCGGAGCTTCCTCACCGCCCGGTCCCGGGTCACCTGCTCGTTCCCCGCCAGGCGCTGTGCCAGCTGGATCTCAGGGGGGAGCTGCACCCGCGGAACCGTGGCGATCGCCACTGAGAGCCCAGGTACCAGGGACAGCGTCGCTGCGCTTGGCCGGGTCGCGCGGTGTGACGTCACACGACCGCGCCGGCCTGGCCCAGGCACGCTCTCTGACCACCGGCGCCTGGGAGGACCTCTCCCTGGAAGCACGCCATCGCCCCGTAGTGGTCGCACACCGCAATGACAGCTCTAGACAGTTGTAATTAAAAGGTCACTAAACCTGTGCCCGCCTTTTAGGGGGGGGCGGTAGTTTAACCAGGTTGATGACAGAGGTTCTTTACCAAAGAAAGCCAGCGAGCACAGATAGAAGGAATGGAGGAATTGGAGAACACTCTGTGCAGCCCCCAGTGAATCTTTGATTCAGGGCGAAAGTCATCAGAAAATGGCACAAGGGCAAAAGAAAGGTGGTCCAAGCTATCAGTCCCCACCTCAAGGGACGGCCACTATGGGCGGGGGGCCCTCTCACGCAGCAGCCGCACCTGTGGGCAGTCAAACCTGACCCTCATCCAGCCTTCAGGGCTGCACCCCAGCTGTCAGGACACAGGAAGGCTGAGCAGGGTGCACAAGAAACAATCATGACCCTTGTCTGGGACAGTTCACAATACAACCGTCCTGATATCATCACAGAGTTAAAGTCATGGATGAAGGAAGGAATGAACGCCTATATAAAGGAGGGGATGTACTCCTTTACATATTTGCATATACAAATCTTGACTGGATCCCGGTTCAAAGAAAAAGCTCTATGTCATTTGGGGGTCAATTGGGAAAGCTTGCATATGGACTGGATGTTGGATTATAGTGCAGAATAATTGTTTATTTTCTTAGGTTTGACAATGTAGTGTTTGTGTTCGTGCAGAATGGACTCAGCAGATTTTTTCACGTTTCAGGGACCCCCAAGCCTGTGGATCGACGAGGCTACGAGGATGGAGGGCTATGATGTATTATGGCAAAGGGACACAAAGCAAATCAGCACAGGAAAAGGTCATACAGAGGGAGTCCAGGAGACACGGGGAGGAGGCCTCCAGAAACCTCTCCAGGTGGAGACACACAGGCCACACTTACCTCCCCAGCTAGGATCTGTGACAACACATGTGAGATGTCAACTGCCAGGAAGCAAAATGGAGAAACACCCACTTCCTTCACATTACTGACTACAGGATAGTTAACATTTACAGTAAGTAGAGATGGTATGTGGGCAGCAGCATAACTGGTGCCAATGTGGTTATGCCTCCAAGGGGTTTGGAAAAGAAATCCACCTGGATTTATCAAAGGTATCTTATCCTAGATGCATAAGAACAATGAGAAGGGGTGCTTATGGGAAAGATTGGCCTTTCACTAAGGAAGCTATAGGCCCAGGATGTGATTACCTGCATGACCTGCCCAGCTAAGAATTTATGAAGGAATCACATTGGTGGTTACTTTCAGGCTCACCCAGCAGGGCCCAGAGGCTATCAGGTCTGCTATGTAGCCCCCGTTTCGTTCATTCATTCAATTATGACTGAATTGTAGGGGTCTCTCCTTCCCCTCCACACCTGGCCTCCCACCCTACCTTGAATTACAAACCAGGCTCTTCCCTGGCAGGTACTGGAAAAGCTGGCCTCTCCCACTTCCCTGCTCATGGGCCACTCCCTTGGGGTTCTGCACGGAGCCCTACAGAAGGCAAGGCTGGGCCTGCTCCTGCAGTCAGCACCCCGTGGTGGGAGAGGCCCAGCATCCTCTGAGGTGCAGCCCTGGAGTGGGGGAGGGGTGCAGCTGGAATGCCATTCCCACCCCAACCTGAGGCCCTGGGAGGCATCTCATCACTGGACTCCTTTGTGCCTCCTCTGCTCACACACGTCAGCCCTTCTCTTTGTCCCTGGATCACACACTGGTGACATCCAGAGTGGCTGGTGCAAGGTGGGTGCTGGACCAGGTCTTGCAGATGAGAAGTGCAAAGCAGTCCAATGCACTGGGGAGTGAGGCCAGGCAGGCCTGGTCCTGGACTCCAAGGTGCCCTGGCAGTCTCTGTCCCCAGCTACTTCTGGAGCCCAGTGGCCACAGACGTCTCTACCCACTGCTCTTGGGGACTCTCAGGTCCAGCTCCCACTCATCTCTGGGTCTCTCCCACCTGGAACCTGCCCTGCAGGGGGTGTGGCAGCAGAGGTTGTAGCTTCCAGAGCTCAGGCCCGGGGTGTGGGTTTGCAACTTCACAGGGAGGAGGACAAATCACAGGAAGAGGGAAGAGCAGATGTTTGGTAACCAGCTGTCTGCCCTGCCATGCAGCTGAGTCTCAGATTTTAAAAAAGTTCTCTCTGATCTTTGCTCTCTTTCTGGACCAGGCTGCCCACCTAAATGATTTAATATAATCATTTTATTTTTGTTCCGCCCTTTATTTTAGAGAGAGGAGGGGAGAGGGAGAGCAAGAGAGAAACATCAACGTGAGAGAGAAACATTGATCAGTTGTCTCCAGTTTAGGGCCCAGGGGGATATGGAACCCGCAGTTGAACCCACGACCCTTTGGTGCACAGGAGAAAGCTGCAAAGGACTGACCACCCCGGCCAGGGCCTTCCCTGAATGCCATGGAGGGAGAGGTGGAAGTTCTCCCCACCCCATGGCTGGGTCTTGATCGCCCTCTGCTCAACATAATCAACAAGCGAAAGTGGCACATTTTGGAGGCGCTCAGAGCCAGATACCTCCCCCGCGTGTCTCCGAGGCCAATAAGACCAACACCAAACAGGGCACACGCACTGCAGCTCACGCCAGTGGCCCCCAGGCGGCGCCCTCCCCGAGGACCAGGTTGCGCAAGACGCGGTCCCTCGCCCACCTCCTCCCGCCTACCCCACTTTTTGCCCCCACCCTACACCACCCCACCCCACCCCTAACCGGCGTTGGCGCCCCGCCCCTCCCACTGGACCGCCCTCCTCGCCCCCGTGTGGTTCCGCCCCGTGTCACCTGAGCCCAGGACCTACGACAGAGGGAGGGCCATGTTCGCAGTTAAAACCCTCGCTCTGCCTTCGCTGCTAATCTCACTGGCAGGCCATTGCTCTGTGCCCGCTGCTCTTCCCTTCTGTGCCTGCTGCTCCGTGCCCGCTGCTCCACCATGAGCGATCCCGTGCCGAGGCTTGGTGGGACCTCCAAAACCAAGGCCGCCACAGCTGAGATCCAGGCCATCGCCGACAAGGTAGGCGGCCGGGTCCTCCCGAGCCCGGGTCGGGTCCCGCCCTGTCCGCAGAGGGGCAGCGCCCGCCGGGACGCGGAGGGTATGGACGCTGGGACAGGGACCCTGGGCCTCGGCTTCTAGAGGGAAGGGCCTGGTGTGCTTGTCCTGGGGCGGTTCCGGTCAGTGAAGCTGGGGAAGGGTCTGCAGGGGTCCTAACTTCTGTCCTGCCTTATTCCAGTGCTCCTTGTGCAAGTAAAACAAAAACAGACACCAGGCTGGGATGCAGAGGCAGAGCCTGGTTCAGACCCTGGGCAGGGCTTGACTCCTGTGCCTCAGTTTCCTCGTCTGTAAAGTGGGCGTCACAGGGGTGCCTTCACCGAAGGTTCTGGGGAAGGTGGGATGGTGGGGCCACAGGAAGGCTCAGGTTCTGAGAAGACACAAAGTCCAACAAACCTGCTGCTTCCCAAACCCGATAGAACCCCACCCCCACTCCACCCCTGTGCTCAGATGGTTTAGACCCGTGGTCGCCAAACTGCGGCTCGCGAGCCACATGCGGCTCTTTGGCCCCTTTGAGTGTGGCTCTTCCTAAGCCAGGGGTGGGCAAACTTTTTGACTCGAGGGCCACAATGGGTTCTTAAACTGGACCGGAGGGCCGGAACAAAAGCATGGATAGAGTGTTTGTGTGAACTAATATAAATTCAAAGTAAACATCATTACATAAAAGGGTACGGTCTCTTTTTTTTTTTAGTTTTATTCATTTCAAAAGGGCCGGATCCGGCCCGCGGGTGGTAGTTTGCCCACGGCTGTCCTAAGCCTTAGGAGTACCCTAATTAAGTTAATAACAATATACCTACCTATATAGTTTAAGTTTAAAAAATTTGGCTCTCAATCGAAATTTCAATCGTTGGGCGAGGTTCCTCTCCCACACGGCTCCGGAGCCCAGCCTCTCTTGAGGTTCCCGGTTCCCAGGCCAAAGGAATCCTCACTTGCTTCATGAACTGTGAATGCCCACCAGCTCAGCAGAGAGGAGTTGCTGTCTCGGGGCTCCCTGATGTGGTGCTGGTCACTTGAAAGTGACATGTAAGAGGGCGGTCACCATGGCCGCTGGGAGGCAGTTCTGAGGGCGGGGCTTTGCCTGTGGCTCCTAGAGGACAGAGCAGGGACATCCTCTCGCTGCCTCAGGTACTGACTCCTCCCCCAGCTCTCTGGGCTGCAGGTGTAGAGAACACAGGTCAGAGAGGGAGCCCTGGCCAGAAGATGTCAAAGTCCCAAATTCTGGCTCAGCCTCCTCAAGTAGTGCCCACCAGTCCCGACCTTGGCCTTCCCTGGCCCTCTGCAGTCTCCTGGCCCCTTGAGGGTGGTAACTGGCAACTTCCTCCCCATCCCCAGGCCTGTCCTGCTCCCCTTGGCTCTAGTACAGCCCGTCTTTCTCCCGGTCCACAGTACTATCAGTGATCTGTCACCACGGGCAGTGCCAGGAGGCTGCCACATGCCCAGTCCCATCGCCTGCATTTGGGTCTTCTCACCATTCCTGCTTTCCTGCCTCCAGTCCTGAAACAGGCCAAGGGGGAGGTGATTCCTTCCCAGACTCCTGTGTAAGTTTGTGTGTGTCACTCATCCCCGTAGGCTTGTCCACCGTCTGCAGGGTCAGATCCCTGCGGACCAAACATGGCACCTTGCAGGACAGGTAAGCACTGAGACACAGGTAGGCCTGCAGTGAGAACCCTGCCGGCCGCATGCTGAGGGCAGAGGAGCGGCAGGAGGGGCCTGCCTTCTCCCTTCCTGACCCTCCCTCCTGTCCTTAGCTGCTGACTCCATTCTCCCTCCATTCTTATCCCTGGTTAGGGCCCCTCCCTGAAGGTGCAGGCAGGCACATGCCTCGTGCTGGCCACGGGTTTGACAGGCTTGGTCCTGCATTGCGAGGAATAATCTGTAAAGGGTGGGCCTTAGAGGTCAGTTTGTAACATTTGACATGAGGCCGCAGCTCCTGTGTCAGTCACTCTTGCAGGAAGGAAG